TTTTCAGTAAAGGTTTCATATTTGCTTCCAGATCTGTAATTTGAGGCAGGAGATACATTGCAATGGTCCTTATACCAGTGCTGTAGAAGCCTGCTATAGGATTAGCACTTACATTGGTGGGAACATCATGGGGAACTGGTTCTTAACCTACCTAATATATTTTCCTTACGCTGTAAAACAATTGTTTAGAAAAGTGCTACAAATTACTGCCAAGTTAACACCTTGCCAGATTTCAAGACTATGAGATCTTCTGGTTACCTCTATTAACGAATCTTGTAATCTTATTAGGCCTAATCTCATTAGGGAATGAGATCTGCTTTAACAAGATTGGTCTGCTGGAACACAGCTCCACAGAAACTACCAGCTGGTTCAAGATGTTAATCGTTGTCTGTGTGGCAGTTCTCTTTATGCATGTGAACTTTGCAGCAGTGACAGAAGCACGTGATTGCCTGTAATAAGGGTGTTCCATACCTCTCACGGTAGAGGCATCTGCAATTGTTGGCAAACAATATGGGGAAATGCTCTCATGGCCTCTTCAACATGGCGTGTTCCCTTGCCTGACCCAGGTGCTATCAGGTTTTCGAAGGTTTTGTTGTTTTACCATTCAGATACCAAGTTGCTGGGAGTCTGCAGTTGGGGAGCTGGTTAATGTTTCATGTAGGACTGTTTGCTGTTCCCTTGAGAGGTGCTGTGAGCCAGTGGATTATCTGAGGAAAGCATGACGCTAGGATTTCAGAAGTAGTATGGTGGAAAAACTGAGAATCTTGGAGATATATTCACTTTTAAGAAGGTGCACAAGATAGAAGTTTGGTTGGAGGAATCTAAATTTTGTGGAGCGTGTCTAAGTAGGAGCTTTTCTGCAGTAGGAATAGAATTTTGAGGCTTTTTTTTTCTCTTTAGGTGGAGGCTCTTTCAATTTTTTTCAGTGAAATGGCTCCATCCATGGAGGCATTTCTCCTCTTACTGAATAGAGTCTTGGCAGAATCTAAGCAGCTCCGTGGGGTGAGGACCCTCTGAGGTATCTGTGTTTTGAAGACCTCCTGTGATACCACGCGTGGGGTGGGAAGGAGCCTGAAGAACTTGGGCTGTTCTCACAGAACAGACTTGTCCCTGATGGACAAGCCTGACCAGATGAAGACATCCATGACCATTTCCTCTGGCTGGAAATGTCACTTACAGGGTCCAGGAGGAATTGATGTGCCCAGCACCAGGAGATGGGATGGGTTGTAGGGTAGCAGCTCTTTCATGGGTGCAACTCCAGCCCAGCTTCCTGGTGGATGAGGCCTGACTGCCAGCAGCCCAGTCCTGTCTGGCTGTGACAAATGCCTAGAAACAGAGTCCACTCTTGGATGGCTTTTCCAGCTGGTGGATTTATTGTGTAGCGGATGCAGAGATACTGAGCTGGTATGTTTGTGTGACCACCCTCTGTTTTAGCAAGCAAGCCATCCAAAATCCAGAATATGCAGCAGAGGCAGCATAGCGGTGGCTGGAGCAAGCACAGACACATCCTGAAGTTGTAATTGGGATACTCCAGCCTGTGTTACCCACATAGTGGAGAATGAATGGGAGAGTCATCCTGCTCCTGCAGGCAGGCCTGCAGATGACTATTGCAAGTTCCTGAGTGGCAGCTTCAGCGTACAGGAGTCATCTGGCCCTGCTTAAAAACTGGCTTGGGCCAAGATTCATGTATGGGGCTCTGCTGCCAACTCAGTACAACCAGATTCAGCTGTGGAAGGCTGGAGCAGTCTGAGGCCAAAGGGTTGCTGAATCGCCATGGGACGCAATGACTCGTGAATCCAGCTGTGAGCTGGCGAGGAAGTTGGAGCAGATGTGCAAGCCCCAAACTGCTGCCAGCACTCTCAGACAAAAGCCGTGCTTTCCTGGTAGCCAGGATTCAAACACCCTTCTCAGAAAGATAAGATCTGCAAACGTCACTGGCAGGAACAGCGCCAGATGTCAGATGCGGGGGTGGAAGTTTCTCAAATAAAGGCTAGTTGCTTTCTAATTTACGAGCTTGTTGCTTTATGACTGTGCTTTAGAAGTTCAGCATGAATGAATGGTAACTATTCCCTCCTGCAGCTCCTTTTTCCCATTACTACTCAAGGCCTCATGTTGAAAGTTCTGACATACTCCGTGAGTAATTTGCCATCCCAAGGAAAAGGTTATGAAAATACCAGTGTGGCAAGATTAAATAACAGAGTGTTTTGGATGTAGAAGCAAAATCTATATTTTACAGACATCTATGATTTGTTTCTTTTCATCCACACATTTGCAGAGGGGGAGGTGGAAAAATATCTATAAAATGACCTAACAACTATCCCAGCAAAGTGAAATCATTTACAAATGTCAGCTGGGCGGAGGGGTTGCACATCTGCGAAGGAGTGACGAGGGGGAAGGAGAGGAAGTGGAACTTCACCTTCTTTAAATAGTGCTGTAGCATATAAATGACAAAATGAAGTGTCTCTGGAAACTTCAGCAGCTGTGGATGGTGCAACACGTGCTTAGTGAAGCATCGTTTGGACAGGTACAGTGTGAACTGCAGCACTAAGCAGGTTTTGCTTTCAAACAGGCTTTGGGCAGCCAAGTGGAGTCCAGGTGTAGAGCTGCCCTAGCAGGTCAGAGCGCGGCTCGGTCTCACCCCATGGCAGCAGCAGGAGCCTGGTCACTGCCTGTGGCCTTTCCACTTGTCCACCCCGAGCTTGTGCAGCCCTTGGCTCAGGAATGCTGATGGGGATTTCCCTGCCTGTTCCCTGTAGTAGTTTGTGTACATCTCTTTTCTACCACCCACCTCTGCAACCTCCTTTGACAGCAAATGCCAGGTGTTTGCTGCCTGCCAGGTAAAGCAGTAGTTTCGCATGCTATAAACTTGTTACACACTGCTCTCAGTGCTTGTCTCCTGGCATGCAACTGTTCCATCTTCATCTCATCCACTGCACGTGGGACTCCACAAACTTTGATCATGTCCCCCTGCAAACTTTCCTCTCTACCTGAAGAGTCCCCATTGTTCAGTCTTTTCTCCGCAGGCAGCTGCCTCAGTCCCTCTATCACGTTCATTGCCCGTCTTCCATCTCCCTCATCTCTCTGTCTTGGGAAGTTTGCAGTGAGGTTAGATGTGCAGGCAGGGTCAAGGCCTGGATGTGCTAAGGTTTCATACGGTGCAGAATGATGCTGTCCGTGTGTTCTCTCTCCCATTTATGAGGGTACCCAACACTCTGGCGGCTTCATCTGCCCTTGAGCCAGTCCTCTGCAGAAGGCTCTTGGTGAGAGGCAGAGAACTCATCAGTGGGTCAGCTGGCTTAGCTTTCCCTTCTTCTTAACCTTTACACATCACAAATTCTTGATTCCTTTTCAATTCATGACCGTACAAAATGCAATTTCCCCTTGAGGCTTGTCTGGCTTTAATCACACCTATAAAAGTTCATTGTCTGTCTGAATTTCCCTCCAAGCAATATTTTCCTTTTATCTCTCCGTGGGTTTTGGCGTGGTGGGGGTGCAGAATGGTGGCTTAGCTCCTGCAGTTGGATCCAGCTGAGGACTAGTGCTTTGGCTGGGAGTGGAGCCGATGTGCAGTTTCAATCTAGTGATGTAATTGATTGGAACAAATGCTCTTCCTGCTCCTTCTGAACTAGTTATGAGGAATTCCTGGGGCTAGGCAGAGCGGATGGTTATATTTGTCTTTCTAATCATGCCTAGAAGTGGTCAGACTCATGGCTTCTGGGAAATGCTGAATGGGTCTGGTGTTTCATCAAGTTTCATACCCAAACATTTATTCTTCGCCTTGATCTTCTGCTTGGACTTCTGCAGCTGATGTTGCAAGCCCAAGAAGGCTGGCTTGGTGCATAGCTTCCCATTTCTGATGTGCTCATTCTTATCCTGCATTGTGAAGTCCCTACACTGTGTCTGAGTTGGGTGAATGTGGACACTGGAGAGTTGAAACAGGAGTGACTTCCAGCCCCTTATCTTGCTTTTGACCTTGTCACTCATCATGCACGTGCTGCGAACAGGGCTTCTTATGACAGCACGGGCTGGAGAAGCTGACCTACACTGATTTAAGAACCCTGAACATCTCACTAGGTACATGAGTGCCTCTGAAGAGGTGTCTTGTGTTTTGCCTTTGGCCTGTAGCAACTTGAGAGGGAGACGGGGCTCAGCCTGAAAAGCATGAGAGTATATTGTGGGTGCATGATGGTCCCACCTCCTGTCTGGGAGCTCCAGTCAGTCCCAGTGTAGGGGGTCCTCCCCCCACACCTCAGCCCCTGGTGAACATGCAGCAACTTGTTTCCACCTGTTTCATTTCTGTATCTATTGCTGTCCAGCCACCTTTATTTCAGACATCGATCTGAAAATCCCAGCCGCTCCAAGGTGAGCTGGACAGCTGCTAAGTGACTTTGGGTTGCCTTTATCGCACGGCGGCAGCACGTCTGCTGTGTGCCAGCGTCTTCTGGTGGTGTCTGTCGGTGCCACAGAGCAGCAGGGCTGCTTGCCAGAAATAACTCCTGCGTGAGGCAGCACCGGGGCAGTCGGCTGAGGCTGCCTGGGGAGGGCGTGGGGGGGTGGGATTACATCACGGCCGCTGCCGTCTGCATTTGGCTAAAAATTCCCACCGCTGCCTGAAGCTGGCCGTGCCTCGGTGTGTTTTCTGAAGGCCGATTTGTTTAGGGCTATCTAGCTGGATTCCTCCTGTGACCTTGCCTTTCAAAAGCTGGGAAGAGCTCATCGGCTACTTGCTGGCTCACAAAGAACATTGCTGGGTAAAGGACGGGGCAGCCTGCTCATGAGGAGACCGTTGTCCCCCAGGAGCCAGCAGCCTGGCCTCAGCTTAGGGAAGCAGCTTTAGTGCAGCAGACAGCTTTTAGTCTCTCAAATCCCCTCCAATCCCCTCTGGAACAGCTCCTCAAAGCAACATGAATTCTGATCTCTGCAGACAAAAGATTTACCAGTTAATTTGATTCAACTTTTAAGAAATTGAGCCTGGTTTCTTTTTGTTTTTTTTTTTCTCTGCAGCAGCAACAATGGATTGGCCCCAACAAAGGTGTAGCAGGTGTTGGGAGAAGACATCCCATCTGAAATGGAGGTGATCCAGGGAGTGGAACGCTGACTGCACCACCATGGGGTCGCAGCTGTTGGCTTGTCTGTTTCATTTGCCCACTGCAGTGATCTACGGGTCCCTGTCGCTGTTTGTTTCCATCTTGCACAACGTGTTCCTCCTGTACTACGTGGACACCTTTGTCTCTGTTTACAAGATTGATAAACTGTCCTTTTGGATAGGAGAGGTTAGTCTTTTCTATAGGCTTCTGCCCTCTTAAGTAAGAAATTCTGGAACTGGACCACTCCTTGCTGAAGAGTGTTAGTTGTAATAGCAGAGTTCCCCTTTGGAGAGGGAGGAAGGGAGCCTTCAGAGTGCTAACTTGGGCTTTCCAGTTTTCCTCACTTACATGAATAGAGAACAAGCTGGGACAGAAAACCCAGAGACTTTGTTCTTAAGACTGCCTTTCCTCTGGGAATCTCAGGGTGTTTCACACACAGGGAAAACCACAGGCCTCACTGAGTTAATTCAGCAGTTGCCCCAGACAAGGGAATCATACAGTGGTGGTGGAGCAGGGAAGATGCACTGGGAGGGTTCCTGCTGGTTGTTCAGTGTGCCAGTTCAGCACTGCTTGCTTCAGGAACAGAACAGGGTCTTTGTGGGAGCTGTCTTGTGGCTTGTTTCATTGTCCTGTTTCCTTTTCTAGACAGTGTTTCTGATCTGGAACAGCCTCAATGACCCTCTGTTTGGCTGGCTGAGTGACCGGGTGTTCCTTAGCACACAGCAGTAAGTTAACTTCTACTTCCAGCAGAGGCTGGGAAGTTGCTTAGTGTCTGGTGAAGATGGTATGAAATGGGCAGCTTTAAATTGATGGTGTGGGAATGGTTACTGGGATGTGCAACATTTAAATGGCTTTTTCTGGCATCTTAGAAGCTTACTGCTCTTGCATATTATTTCAGTACCTGGCTGTGTAGAGGAAGTCACACTTCTAACTGAGTAGATGTGACCCTAGCCCTTAACAATCACAGGAGTGGTGCAGAACCTAAAATATGGGCATCTCAAGCCTCTTAGTAGCATGTGGGAGAGTGTCTGTGTGTGGTTTAGGGGAAACAGGGTGGGGAAAGGGCAATTAGGTCTACCTGGAAGTGCTCAGACTGGTTGTTCCCAATTAGAATTTCTCATGTGTTTATGTCAAGCTTTTAATGAAAATCATGGTGTGGCTTCCTTTACCTAGTGAACACTTTTTAAGTGCTCATTGAAACCACTTAAATTGTGCAAAGCAGACAGTGCAGCACTAGCAGGCTGAGGCATGCTCTAGAGAAGTCCCTTTCCTCCATGCTTTTTTGCCGCCTTAAACTCATATTTGTGGTGTATTCATGTATTATCTGAGAAGGTATCTGATGTGGGTGCTGGTTACATGAGAAGAAGCTGTATTTATGTGCATGGCACTTAGCTTCCTCTGAGAGAGAGAATACGTGGTCATGCAGGGTTTAGTCCAGGTGTCTAAAGTTTTTGTCTTCTCTTGCAGGCCAGGAGCAGAGATTTCTTCCCCAGAAGTAGTTCTGAAGAGGCTCAGAGCACTAAGCCACAATGGCCCCCTCTTTGCCATCTCTTTTCTGGCTTTCTGGGTTGCCTGGGCTCATCCTGGTTTGCAGTTCCTTCTTTGTCTCTGCATGTACGACAGCTTTCTCACCATGGTCGACCTCCATCACAACGCCTTGCTTGCAGACCTGGCTGTTTCAGCAAAAGACAGGACTAGCCTCAACTTCTACTGCTCCCTCTTCAGTGCCATAGGCTCCCTCTCTGTCTTCATGTCTTATGCAGTGTGGAACAAAGAGGACTTCTTTTCCTTTCGCATATTTTGCATCGTGCTGGCCCTCTGCTCCATCATTGGTTTTACCTTGTCCACGCAGCTGCTCCGCCAACGGTTTGAGGCAGATGGGAAAGCAAAATGGGACCAAGAATCAACCCTAAAAGAGTAAGTGTCACTAATTCTGTAGCAGGGACAAAGGTCAAAGGCTTGGAGTAGATCTCTAGAGTTTTCATACACTGCAGCAAACTAAATGTGTGGGAAGGTCCAGGGCGAGGCAAATTTTCGTTAATCATCTGTGATCCTTGTTTGTTGATACAGTTTTCAGAACCATCTCTGTCACACTGGCTCCTAGTGCTCTCTGAAAATAGAACAAAACTATCTCGTGACACCCCTGACCCAAACTGGCGGCAGAGCCCTGACCTGCTGTATGGCCATCCAGTGTTTGGAACATGAAATGAGTTAATAACTAGAGCACCCAGTAAGGCCTGTGAGTGGCAAAATGTCAGAAGCAGCTTATCCTGAAAGCATGCCTGCTTGAGCATGAGACCAGCCTGCTCCCTGTTTCCCATGGAGTTTGACAAGCGAATGTCTCTTGCCCCTTGGCTCGCTTCAGCTCCCTGGCAGTGCTGGGCTGTTGGTAGGCCGTGGCACAGCTGGTCTTCCCCATGCAGCTTCCTTGCTTTTCCTTGGGCTGCCTCGCTCGTTGTCTCTGGTGACGAGCTGCCAGCATTATGCTGTACTAACGCAGCAGATCCTGATGAGATCTGCTAGGTGAGCTAACCACAGGGATCTGGAAGGGGAGCGTATGCGTGGTGGAATGACTCATGAGAAGAGGAGAATGCTTTTGTGGACATAAATCTGAGTTTTTGGGTGCAGAAGACAAATGTTCTTTGGGATACCTGTTGCCTGTGGTTCTTGCTAGCAATAAGCAAATGTTGTAGACTCTACTGTTTTGATTTGGTCCAGGGAGGGGAGAAGGTTGGGTTGGGAGCTGAGGAGAGACAGCTTTCCATCTCCACAGGGAGAGCTGGTACGGAGGATTTACGGTCGCTTTTTTCCCTCCTCTGCCTTTAGGCTGTACATTGAGAAACTCTCCGTCCCCCAGGAGAAGAGGATCACCCTGGCAGAGTATCTCCAGCAGCTCTCCCGGCATCGCAACTTCCTCTGGTTTGTCTGCATGAACCTTATCCAGGTAGGTGCAGCACCAGGCTGCTGTGGCTCAGGGTGAGCGCTGCCTCTGGCCATTTCAGAGTGAGCTCCCGAGGAAGGGCAGAGCCGTTTCCAGCACCCACTTACTCTTGGAGCCTCCCACACGTGCTGGCTGATTCAGCAGCTGGTAGCCACTCTCCCTGCTTGTGACCCAAGGGTGCTTCCTGACCAAGCTGTGGGGTGCTCCTGCCGCTCTCCACAGCATGGGCTGGAGCACGGGGGCTGGCTGAGCTCTGTGCAGCCCATCTGGGGTGCAGAAGCACGAGGCCTGGCTTGTGATGGAGATGAGTTTGGGAGTGCAGTTTGCTGGCACAGCTGTCGGCATGGTCGCTTTCTGCTTCCTACTCTCCCGAGGCTCACATCACTGTTTTCACTGTCCAGCTGGATCCACCTCCCAGCTGTTTTCTGCCATTTCTGTTCTTCATCCTCTTTGGTGATTACAAGCAAGTGCAGGCAGCCAGCCCAGCTTCGTGTGCTGCAGTCAGGGCTCCCGTCTCCCTGGGGATCTCTCGGATCCCCTCGGGCAGGCTCTTGATGCTGTTCTGCATCTTTGTGTTCAAGCCTCACTGCTGTCCTGTCCTCCTGACAGCTGCCTCTTCCCTCCTGCCATGCCCCTGTCTCCTCCAGCCCCGTGCTGTGGTCACTGCTTTCACCTCCTCGCCCTGGGTGCTGAGCAGGTGCCTCGGCAGCTGGGCAGCGGTACTGACCCTGGGCACACGGTGGGCATGGCTGGTGGCATTGCAGCTTTGCAGTCTGAAGGCCTACAGTGTTGTGAACTCCACAGCCAAGCTCCGGCTTGGCTGAAGCACTCCAAGCTCCTCTTGCACGGTCCCTTGGCACGGGGCTCCTGGGATAGCACAGCCCAGAGGGCTGTTAGCTTTTTCTGCTCTCTCTCACTGCTGTTCTTGCTGACCAGCTCATCTGCATGCTGCCTTCACAGGTTTTTCACTGCCACTTTAACAGCAACTTCTTCCCTCTGTTCCTGGAGCACCTGCTGTCAGACCAGATCTCTGTCTCTACTGGATCCTTCCTGCTCGGTGAGTCTTAGGTGGGACTGGAGGGAGCAGCCAGTTTAGGACCTGGTCCAAGTCTGGATTTGCTCTTCCCAGACCCCGTCTGTGGAGACATGTGCTCATACTCCAGTCTCTGGTCTGTAAGATTCACACATGCACACATCCCACGTGCGTCCTTAGGACTTCTGTGTCTTCCGTCCTGGGCACAGAAGTAACTTGGAGCCTTTTCTAGTGGTGATGATCTCAGCATGCTGGACTCTGGCCTACGTTCCACAGAGGTGTTGCTCTGGCCATTGGTAGCTTCAGATAACGTTCCCAGGATTCAGCAGGGAACAGTGCCCTGAATTTAATCCTTTTCTCCTGTGGCACTGTGGTGGTTTAAGCCACTTTTTATCGTTCAAGGGCAGGTTCAATAAAGGTGATGGAAAACTGAACAAAATTAGCAGCAAGTGAACAGTTTATTACAGAGGGTTGTAAATTGGGGAAGGCAGGATACCCCAAAGGGACCCCAAAATTATACAGAGAAACACGTGACACACAGGGAAAACAACAAAAAAAGGGGAAAAAAAAACCAAACACAAAAACAAAACACAAAAAAAGAGAACTGCTCTTCTGCTAGCTGGCTAGCTGAAAGAACAGGG